ACAGAAAAGGGTCACAGAAACAGGCTGAGGAAGGTGGTGGTAGAGAAATGTTGACACATGGTAATTTAGTGATCACATAAGCTCATAGGGGTAGAAGAAAGACAGTTAGACTCAAAAACACAAACATTGGAGTCATAGGAAAAGAGACGGCATTTAGAGAACTGGCAAGAGAATGAATGGGATCATCTAGTCAGAGGATTTAGAAGAATCTGAGAAGTGGACTCAGCACCAAGCCCTGGAGAACTTAGCAATTAAAGGCTGCATTACAGGAGCAGGGAAACAAATAAAAATGAAACCGAGAAGAAATGGTTAAAGGGAAAGAAAAAAGGTGAAAAGCCAAAAGTAGGCCATCTTGGAGTATCCTGACATCTTGGCACCAAAACCAAGAAAGGAAAGGGTTTTAGGAAGGAAATGGCCAAGCGTGCTGCATGCTGCTAAGAGGCTGCGTAGTTGAGACAGAGGGAATAAAATTCACAGGCGCAAAACTGAACTTGAGAACTTGCCTCTGAAGATCTGTTTGTTGTGGCTACTTTCCAGTTGTAAATTTGTTCCCTGGCTCCTCTCTTTCTTTCAGTTCCTACCTCCAACCCACCAGCATACCCTGCTGGCTTAACTTAAAAATATATCCCGAACCTGACATGTCTCACCACGTCTCTAGCTATTAGGCTAGTACATCTCTCACCTGGAGTATTACAGTAGCCTCCGAACTCATCTCCCCGAGCCCGGTCCTCTCTCCCTGCAGGAATATTTTAGAACAGCAATCAGTGATCCTTTTCAAAGGAAGGCTGACAGCATCATAGGACTGTAAGACCCTATGGGACCTGTCCCCACACACACCACCTCCCTCCCCTCCTGCCATGACCCAAGTTTCCAGCCACACTAGTCTCCTGGCTCCTGTCTTACCGCCTCTGCACTTGCAGCTCCCTCTGCCTGGAATGTCCTGCTTCAAATATCACACAGCTCACTCTTAACCCTCTGGTTTTTGCCTTCCTTCCCAGGGAGGAGTCCCCTGGCCCTGCTTTAAGTCGTCTCCTCCAGGCCCCTCTCCTGCTTCCTATTTTTATAGCCCTTATAACCATTTGACTTACTGTATATTTTACATATTGCTTATTTAAGGGCTATGCCTCCCCTGCCCTGCCAAATCTTTGAGAGTCATGTTTCTTTTCTCAGAACCTAACACCATGCCTGGCATTCAAGAAATAACGTCTTGACAAAGGAGTGGCGGGAACAGTGAGCTACAACAAACTGGGGAAGAATGGGAGTGAGGGGGTGCAATCAGTATGTGTCCAAATGTTGCTGTGAAGGGGAGCGGAAAAATGGTACGGTAACGAGGAAGGGTGTGAAAGTAAAAGAGGAAAATTTTTTTAATGGATATATGACCTCAGGAACCTAATGGCAATTTATATGATACCATGTCTAGACTAAAAGATTGGTTTATAATACTATAATTGAGAGCTAATATGGATCTTCCATAATGAGATTTATCTAGGGATCATACAAATTAACTGATCAGAATAAACGAGAGAAAATTGTCTTCTTTGTGCCATGGATTAGACAATGAACAACCCTGCCTGCAAGGAACTCAAAATCTAGTGATTGTCATAGAAAGTGGTGATAATGTTTCCTTCAGAAGTGATTTCACAGTATGCTAACATGTAATTTTGCTTCTCTAAGTCCTACTTATAAGGTAAAAGGGAGCTTAGAGAAGTTAAATAATTTGCCCAAGCTCACTTCACTAATAAACAATGGGTCTGGCATTGAAAACCAGGTATCTTTGGGAAGAGTCTATGTTAAATATGGGTTAAAATTCACACCAGAATACATGTATTATGTGTACTTTTCTATAAAAAAATAGAAAATGGATAACTTTTCTAACTTAGTCCTGTATAATAAAATCCTAAAATAAATGTTGGAAGGGATACGGAAAATACTACATAGATCTGTCAGAAGCCTGGGAATTAGCATGAATGAATGAGCAGAGACAAGGCAAATAAACAGGTGAGTTGAAGCAATAATATACTCACTTGAATAAGTATTACACTACCCAGTGCATTAATGCCAAGGTGCAGGGCTGGGAAACACCCGGCCTTTTATTTTGTCTCCTTTTTTCTCTAAAGTCTGTGGGCTATTTTCTCCATTAAGCTCTCACCCAAGCTTAGCAGACAGAGCTCTAAAGTGACCCCCAAGGAGTTCGCAAAGTCTTGCTCCCCAGTCTATGTCATCAGTTCGGGTCAAACAAACTCATAAAAGCTATTTGAAAAATGAAAAATGGAAAAATAAATAAATAAAATGACCTCCCCCATGCCCGCCCACTGGTAAACACGCCCTGCAGAATCCTCTGCCCTTGATTGCGAGTGGGCCCTGTGAATAAAATGGAATGTCGCTTCCTTGTTAAATGGCAAAGGCGAGGGGATAGTCACTCCTGTAAGTACATTACAATTAGCAGACTAGAGGGATATCCTCCCTCTGCCACAGGTGAGAGGGCCGCCCTGTGGCTTACTGCTTGAGGGTGGCCTCATAGAGCTGACGGTGACCTCAGCTAAAAGCAAGAAAAAGAGGACCTTGGTCCCACAACAGCAAGAAACAGAATTCTGCCAACAATCTCATGGCCTGGCAGAGGACCATGAGCCTCCACCAAGGCTGCACCTCTGGTCAATACCTTGACTTCAGCCTGTTGGGACTCTGGACAGAGACAGCCCAGCAAACCCATGTCCCAACTCCTGACCAGTGGAAACCAAGGATAATAAATGGCTATTGTGTTAAGCTGCTAAACCTGTGGTAATCTGTAACAGTAGCATAAAAAGTAAAACACAAGCCAATATTCATCTCTTGTGCAGACATTGTCAGAGGACACCTGACATAGCTGTGACCTCACATTACCCCAAGGGTAATAGTGGAACCCATTTTTAATTCTGAATTGTCCTAATCCATGTTCTTTCAACCTGCATGCCTTTCCACTTGCCATTCCAGATGAATTTCTACTCAAACTTCAACACCAGGGTCAAATGTTGCTTCTTCAAAGAAGCATTTCCTTACAGCCAAACACAAGCACTCCCAAGCAGAATAAACTACTTCTATTTGCTTCCGAGGCAGCAGCTTGTCTGCCCATCTACAAAACACTCGCCATGATGTCCGGTGATGCCTGCCCTCCTCCCAGCCCCTGACAGCGAATTCTTAGGGCAGAGCTGCCCCAGTCTCATGCACCCTGCCTGGCATAGAGTGGCTGCTAAATAGTTCGTATCCAGGGAAGAAAATGAGGCTCGAGATTAACATGGGCTTTTGATGTCAGGGAGCTGCTGTTTCTTTTCCACATAGATGATCAGGCCTTGGGTATTAATAGAAATTCAGAAAGCCTTCTCCATGACAACAGCTGGGTGACTAACCTAGCACTTACTTCATTAAATGGGCGGATATTTACTGTCTCCAAAGAGCTGGTCTGATATGGATAGGTGTGCTTGCAGCAACAGATGGCAGGTGCTGGGAAGGATTTAAATTCTCCCACAAGAGGTGGCATGAGGCCCTGTCCGATCTGTCCTGGTTCAAGCCCTGGGCTAGGCTGGTATGCTTGCTGATTCATATAATTCATGTTAATCTACTCCGAAAATCAAATGTCAGCCGAAACAGACTATAACCCTGCAGAGTTAGTTTTACTCAATGGCTTCAAACTATGGGTAACAAGCCAGAAATGAGAATCATGTGTGAACAACATCCATGGCATTCACAGGATCCCAAGGTAGAAAGCATTTTTTAGGAAATTAAAAACTCAGGCAAAATTATGCATCGTCAGTCGGCCGGGAGTGGCATTTGTTGCAGGGCCAAGGGGTGTCTTTTAGATATATATTTTTTAATTGTATTTTTTTCCATTACCATTCATCCCCCTTATCCCTCCGCCCTGTGGCCCCCATGTGTGTTTTGACAAAACTCAGGGAAAGAATTTGCATTTTTCCTTAGGACCCCCTCCTGTCGGTGAACACTTGAAGTGCCCCCTGCAGCTGTCCTACGTTAACCATGCCACTGCTTTAAGGCTCCACCTCGGTGGAGAGAGAGATCATTCTGATTCAGAGAGGACACAGAGCAAGGCACGGAGATAAGGGACCTGCTCATAGAGCAGCTGGTCACCAGTTCCTAAGAGCTAGATTCATATTCTCTCCATAGATAAATCATTGAACAACAAAGTGCTGTTTGTCTTTTTTTAAATGCTCACCCAAGCATATGTTCATTGATTTGAGAGAGAGAGGAAAGGCGGGGGGGAGAGAGAAAGACAGAGACAGAGACAGAGAATCATCGATTGGTTGCCTGCCTCACAAGCCCCAACCAGGAATCAACCCCACAACCTAGGCATATGCCTTGACCGGGATTGAACCCACAGCCCTTTGGTGTACAGGATGATGCTCCAACCAACTGAGCCGCCCGGCCACGGCCAAGGTGCTGCTTTTTCATGAAAGTATTACAACCACATTCATAGAAAGTTAGAAAAATTCTGGGAGGAAATGCTCTTGCCACATGAAAACACGTTAATTAACATTTGTTATATTTTAAAATATTTTTAACAGCTTGTGACATAAACTCTTAATGTCAGTACCTCTTTTGGCTCTTCTGGGCTTATATGACATCATTCTTAAGAATCAAATCAGACCCTATATGGCACTGGCCACCAGAGACTCCAAGACACAGCCAGCTGGGGACACAATTTCTCAAAGATCAGTATGGGAGAAGGTGTGGGGCTGGGTTCCAACCTTGAGCCATAACACTGGATTCTCCTTCACGCACTCAATACATACTGATGCACCAGACTTTGCGCTAGGTGCTAGGACTACCTCTGCGAAGTAGACAGGTAAAGTCCCTGCTGTCACAGGATTTATATTCTCATGTGGATGTATATCCTGTGCAGTGTAACAAGAAAGGGAAAACAGAGTAGAGGAAGTAGAGGAAGTAATCACTGTGTATTAATTATTTTAAATACTAATGGAAACTTCGAAGTGGCAGAACACAGTAAATACCTTCGATGCTCTGTGGGCCCACAAGATTCATGGCCTGGTGAGCTGGGTACTCTACCCGTGGCCTGGCAATGCCCAGCTGCTCCATGACGCCGTGGAGCAGCCTCTGGATGTCTGTTTCAGAGACCCGGTCAGGGGTCCTTGGACTATAAGCAGATGTTGCAGTCCACCCAAATGCCAGCCAAAATGTTAGGCCAGAGAGCATGGTGCAGACCATCCTGGAGACCATTTTTAACCTGCAGAAATAAGACCAAATTATATCGATAGGACACAATTGGCAATGGTGATGATGCCATCATGCAAGGGACTAATTTGAGGACCACCCAGAAAGCGACTAAAAACCTAAGAGTTTGCTTTTGCCTTAAATATCAACTGTGGTCAGGACATCTGCTGTGGGAAGGTGTTAAAAAACAGAACAGTTAGAGATAATTCCTTCTGTCCTTTCATTTGGGAAGACCAGACTAGAATGGCAGCTCTCTGTCAGTTTTTATCCTCCTTGCAGCTCCCTGGAAATCAGGCATCACCCTAAACCCACCACTCTCTTCCTTTCTTACAAAAGCAAACAAACAACAATAACAACAAAAACCTGTTTCAATTTTGAGAAAAGGAGAAGGACCTCTTGAGTTTTCCTAGGTCTTGGGCAGGGTGGAAGGGTGGGGAAGGTTCACAGATAGGAATTAGGGAGACAAAAAAGCTAAAGAATCACAAAAGGGTTAGAGAGGTGGAAGGGAACAGGTTAGCTTAGCAGATGTCCAGGATTAATACACTGGAGATCCCGAGGGCACTAAAAATGCATGCAGCTCTGGTCTGCCCTGCAGTCCGGGAGGGGAGATGAAGCATGCTCGCTCTGCCACAGGCTGGCGGGGTGATCTTAGGTAAAAGCCTCAGCTTTCTCATCTGCAAAAAGGGGATTAGAAAAGCATGTGTCTTATAGGATTGTTATGAATAGGTGTGTGGGAATGGACATCAGGAGTCAGAACCATGCCTGGCAGAGCACCCACATTGCTATCATTATCTTGGCAATATTACCTTACAGTTCTGGGGTTAGCATTTGGGGAAGTGAGTGATGAGAGAAAAGACAGACAGGGGAAAGAGAGGGAGAAAACTAGTCTAGAGAGTGACTGTCTTAAATGTTGGCTTCTGTAGAGCCAGACGCCTGCAGAACAAGGGGACAAACATTCATGCAGTGATCCTCTGCAGCTGCTGGCCCACGCTTCTGACCATTCTTCTACGCATTTTCTTCCCTGAGACTGAAATATCCATAACCCCTATCTTTTTCTGTATAGGAAAAGGCCTTTTCTAGCCCCTCCTGGATACAAAGCCTTGTTCCCCAAAGAGCAAAACCTGCAATCCTGACGGAAAAGGCCGGCGGCAGCCGCCAGCCTCCATCCCTCTCCATCTTTCCCTCCTCCTCGCTGAATGCGGGATGTCTTTCTGCTTCATTTACATCCCCGGCCAACACAGTTCTCATTTGATGAGCTACACAATCTCCTCCCGTCGGTACTCTTTCCCTCCTATTTATTGCCGAACCTCCTAATCCCCGCACCCATCCTTTGTCTGCCCCCAACCTCCAGCTCAAAGATTGCAGGACGCCCTTCCCGACTCCCGATCCCGAAGATCCCGCGCGTCTGGGCTGGGTCTCCGGAGGTCGAGCCGGCGTCCCCGCGGGACTCACCAAGGGGCCGGAGCCTGACGCAGGTCTGGGCCTTGCTGGGGGTCGGACGGGAGCCGCGATTCTGGTCTCTGGTGCGTCACCTCCGCATCTTAGCTCCGCCCCGGTCCCTCCCCCAGCAGGTGAGGGCCGCCCAGAAAGGCCCCAGAGCCGGTGCCTCCTGCCTTGAGCCATCTGGCGTTGACTCAGGCATTCCACGTGCACATCTCCTGGAGATGCTCTTCTCCACCGACCCCCTTTCTCAAGCAAGTATCTATCATGCCGGGTCGCCACTGTGTACTTTGCCCCCAATAGCCCATCTTTAATTCTGCCACCTTCCAGCATTTTGTTTTCATCTTTCAGCTTTAAGAGGATATGGGGCAATGGAAGGAGAAACAAAAGATGAAGATATCCTAAGAACACTCAGTGATGGCAATTCTAGGGCATATCCTAAGGGTGCTTTCAGAGGCCCTTTCATTGAGCAGGGAAACCGAGGCTATTAAATATAGCAAAATGCTAGCAACTTCTGTTCCCAAAATGTGGGAAAATCTCTGGGAATATGAATTTTGAGTATTATTTCTGAACGTCCACACCAACTATCAAGTAATATTCCTTTGGCCTCAAGAGAAACCATACTCCCAGCACACTGTGCAAATTTATCTGTGTAGATGCAGAATTTTAAGTTTTTATAGAGCAAACTTGTACATTTGAATTTTGTCCAAATACAAAAATTGAAATGTAAAACTACACAATGTAGTATTGCCGATTTGTTTTAAGACTGGGGATGGCTGGAGTACCTGGGGGTACCTGAGAATAACTGAGTGACTTGAGGTTAGAATCCAGGTGGCTTCAGCCCGGCTTTAGGCAGCTATGGTCACCCACAGCAATTTTACACAACGCAGAGGGGCACGCAAACTTCATTCCTGAGACACATGGCTTCGCTCTGAAGCCAAGCCTCCTTCCTACTCTTTTCTTCTATGGATGCTCTTCTGTTTCCAGCTTTTTCTTTCAGGGTATGTTCAATCAACAGTGCAGATAATCTATTGGCTCTAGGTTCAAAGGCCAAGCTGGGGTTTAATATTTATTATGCACACATGAGGGTGTTTGGTCCTCCCCCCAATTCTGAATTTTACTTTAACATTGTTCACTGTTACCTTCATTTTGAGCCTGGGAAAATGGAAGTCATTAAAACTTACTGCTTTTGGGATGAATGGAAATTTGGTTGAAATACACCAAAATGTAAATGATGTATGAGATTTGATATTTTAAAAACACCTACAACATGTATGTTGGACTTGATGATTATGAAAATCCTATATTCTTAGTGATTATAGGATGTTGCCAAGCAACTCATTTAGTTCTATGTAATTGTGTTATTTCTCATAATATTCAAATTAATATTAGATCTTTACTTGTAAGAGCAATCCAGGCACTTTTTAACTTTGTTAATTATGTTTATCATTTGATCAAATGTCCCCAGGAGATTAGGAACATTATTTATTTTGTGTAAAAGAAAAACAATGAAAGCATAGATTAAATCAAGTCTAAAACTCAACTTTCCTAACTTTCTCCAATTACCGTACCTCCAAGCTATTCACTTTCGGCTAACAAAAATGGGAGTGACATGTGGGTATCTTTTTTAAAATAAGTATCTCTCATTATTGACTTATCTCTCAGAAAAGCCACTAATTCAGGTAATTTGTACAGTTAATTTCCCATGTCTTCTTTTTAACTTAACTTTCCAATTCAACATTTTGCCCATCCCCATGGATATAAAAGGACATTAATGCATTCTTAAGTTTAAAAAAGTCTTTGAAACAGACAACGTATTTCAGAGTTTATGAATACTTTCTACCTCTACTACTAGAGAAATACCATAAACACCTGAAATGCATACCCAGTAAACACTACAAACCTGTTTTGATGCCAGGTAAACATGATATTTACACCTATAGATTTTTACAGTTTTCATATGTCAATTACTTACTAGTTCTGAGAAAGGATTGATTCCTAGTAATAGAGACAGGAAATGGCTTTGAAATAAGAGATATACTGCTATCAAGTAAAACTTGGTAAAGCAAATATCTGATGACTTTAAAGTCATCATACAAATATATACTAAGTCTGGTTGGTCTGAGTAGGTGTGCAATGCTGTCCTATTCTGCCCCAATATCTGAAAATGACATTCTAACTGACCTACAAAACTATGTTTAGTGGTTGATTCTGCCTGCATATTCCTTCCTGTAAAACTTAGAGAATATCTTCTATTTCTTCCTTAAGGATTTGTAATTTCTAGTAATTTGAAATATAAACACAGTTTTGCTTTACAATTTGCATCAAATTCTAAAAGATATTTTGAATTTCATTAGTCTCAGGCAAGTAATTTTTCAGAAAGTTATCTTTAATGTCTATGCTAAATAAATAACATTTACACACAAGACAAAACCATCCTTGGCTTTTATAAAAATCCAAAGTACAAGAATTCAAGGTAAATGTGGAGGTCGATCAACTATTTCAAATTCTACAATCAAGCATCTGCATATAAGAAATCACCTTGATTAAATTTTTCAAGCTTAATTAGTCCTCAATTTTAAATTCTACATGAGACATAACAGATACAAATGTATTTGTGCAAATTAACTTAAAAAAAAACAGTATGGCTTAAAAGTCATCAATTATTCCTGCAGCATCATACTATATAAGCACACTTGAGTTATTATTCTACTTTAGGCATTATTCTTAAGTGAGCACCCTGTATACATCTACAGGCAATAGAAACCTAATTACTTTGTCCCAAATAGGAATAAAGGATTAAGATGCTATTGAAACAGGTTAATTTCCAGGGGTTTAGGTAAAGGCAATAAACATTAATGTATTTCAAGAAAAAAGGTTTGTGCCCTGGCTAGTATGGCTCAGTTGGTTCGAGCATTGTTCTGTACACCAAAAGACTGTAGGTTTGATTCCCCGGCAGGGCACATGCCTGGGTTGTGGATTCTGTCCCCTGTCGGGGCTCATACATGAGGCAACCGATCAATGTTTCTTTCACTCTCACCTCCTCTCTCTAAAATCAATAAGCATGTCCTCAGGTGAGGACTTAAAAAAAAAAAAAAAAAAGATTCGCAAGGTTTATCTATTCCCTTTATATGTTAGGAATTTCTTGTAAAAACATTATGTGATTTAGGAGGAATAACAGGAAATAGATACAACTTATTCTACTCTTCCTCTCACCCTTAATAAAATTCATGCAATTTTGAACTCAATTTCTTATAAATCCAGTCAACTTCTTTTAAAAAGTATAACCTGTTTTAAGAGATCACAATAAAATTAAAATGTTTTAAATACTGCCATAATTAAGGAAAACAAAGTAGTTATTTATACAAACATAAGAATTCAAGTTGCTTTTGCAATGAAATTAAAAATCTGGCCCTGGCTGGTGTGGCTCCATGGAATGAGTGCTGGTCTGCGAACCAAAGGGTCACCAGTTCGACTCCCGGTCAGGGCACATGCCTGGGTTGCAGGCCAGGTCCCTGGTTGAGGCTGCACAAGAGGCAACCACACATTGATGTTCTTCTCCCTTTTTCTCTCTCCCTTACCCTCTCTCTAAAAATAAATAAAATCTTTAAAAAATAAAAAAAACCTATCACATATCATCTTGAGCTACAAATTAACATGTAGATTACCTTGCAAGCACGTCACTAACAGCTAATTTTATTTACATTGATGACAAGCATAACACTGACCAATTACAAGTCTACAGGTTTACTTGTTGGTAGTAGTTGAACTTTTCCAAAAGGATTTTTGGGAGAACCTTTATAAGAAATCTTTTGTTTTTCTGATGGTTTCCTAAGGACCCTGTTATTTATCCCAGGAGAAAAGCCCACATTGTTATTTACAACAGGTTTTAATATATCATAATTTGTCAGATCCTCCAAGGGAACCTTAATTTGGCCATCAGATATAACTTTCTCTCTGTAAATTCTGGTTGACCCAAGAGAAGCATTCACGGAGTCTGGGTGCCTTTCCATCTGTGAGAAAGATTTAGAAGTTAATTCCATGCTTGATTTCGAAGCTGCATCAACACTTGACTGTTCACATGATAAAGACTTCTGTTCTCTTAGACCTGATTGAGTACATGAAATTGAGGAATCCTTTGAAGAACTTTCTGTGCAAGAGGAAAGAGCACTGTCATAGCTCACTGCTTTAACCAGAGGAGAAGCAGTATCATCAAGATGTGCCAATTTATGCCTTGTAGGTTGTCTATTATACTCTAATAAAGAAGTAATTCTTCTGACAGACTGACGGACAGGTGTGCGCTGAAACTTAAGAGGTGATTTAACTTTTGTCCTATTTGGTTCATTTAAAGAAAGCTTATTAAACCACTGTATATGGTCTGAAACCTTACCATGCTCTGCTACTTGTAAACCTTTATAAACTGTTGTATCACATGTTTCCACCAGTGACAGCTGTTTAACCACTCTCACGGGCCTAGGTTTTGACAACTTAGCTATATTATGTGTAATCCGCACTGAGGAAGAGGGGTCAGCTGCATCCTCTCTAGAAGCTGTGCATTTTGGTAAGTTCTCCTCCATCATATTCTCCTCCTTTAATTTAGTATTTAGTTTATCCCTTGGAGACTGTTGTATTTTTATTTGTTCATCACTGGGCAATTCTTGCTTGCTTAAATAACCATTTGGTATATCTGAATAAACGCTTTCATCATGTTCCACCTTCATCTCAGTAGAGTAACATTTTGTAGTTGCTTCTCTATCTAATATTTTAGTCTGATGTAGTGAGAAATCTCTTTCTGAAAAACTGTTTTCACTTTTACTAGTGTGGTGTTCACTTGATTCTATCACAGTCAAATCATTAGTTTCAAAGAGATTTTTCCCAGGGCTATATGCTATAGAGGTTGTTTCATTTAATTTTACTTTCTCCACATTAGTTATCGATGACTGCCTGTGATTTATCAATGCATGAAGATTACTTCCAGATTCCGAAAATGCTTTCTGAATTTTCACCAAAGTCTCTGTACTCAAATTATTTTCATCCCCACTAAGAGAGCTTGTGGTTATGTTGTTATTATGCTTGTTGTGTAAATTAGAAGGGGTGAATTCATATGAATTAATAGATGACTTTTCCATCATAATATCAGGCTCCAAAGAGGAGTTTTCTACCTCAAGACTTCCTTCTATCGGAGAAGCTTCATTTGCTTCTGTTTCTCGAATACTTGAATTATTTGGTCCCGTCCAAGACATTCGGTAACTTGTTCCATCTAGTTGTTCTGGAGTTAGTAAGTTTTCCTCCGACTTACTGATCTTTTTTGAACCTAAAATAAAGCAGTTCAGGGTTTTTAGTCATTTATATTTGACATAGTTTTGAAATATTATCCAAATACATGGTAAATAAAGGTACTAAGCATTTGATTACAATAAATTAGATTTGTTAAAAGAAGCAATGTTTAAGTGTCAAGCATTTTCATATTTATAAGCATCCTCCAATTGTTCACAAAATAGACATTGCTAATTCAAATATTTTTATTCAAACTTGAATTTTAAATTTCTAAAACAATAAGTTACTTAATACATTTTATCATTAACAAAGCAACTAAAGGCTATGTGTCAATTTTATTTCAATAAAGGTGGAAACTTTTTTTTTTTTTAAATCAACTAAATGTTGGTTTTTTGAGTAAAACTCTAACAATACCATGTAAGTGTACCTTTACCTTTCTTTGTTAGTTTTTCATCAATATCTGGGCTAAAAAGCAGACCTGTTTTTACACATTCAATCCTATTTTTTAAACTTTGTTGATTTGCAAGTCTTCGACCAACATTTTCATGTCTATTGACACCAGAATACCCATTCTGCAGAGACAAAAAAAGAAAAATTAAAAGTTTTGGATAAAAAATAAACCAGGTGATTTTCAAAATATTAAGACAAGTTAAATTTTTATGGTTATCAAAATCCTCTATAATGAATTAAAAATGATATATATGATTGAGAAACAATTTTATAGCAAACACAAATATATTTGTTCGCATGTTGATAAGTTGTAAACATTTGACTTGGATATTAGTTGATTTTATGATCAAAAATAAAAAATAGCCTTGAATATTCATTAGGTTAAAAAATAATGTTGATTCTGAGCCAAGGCCTATTCACAACAGTGAAAGAAGAAAAATAAACAAACGGAACCCAAGACCAAAATCTTAGCTTAATGGAATTTATATTCTAAGTGGAGAGATTCAGACCAGAACAAAATAATCAGTCACTTAAATTGTATAATATAAAACAGGGTTGCCCAACCCCCAGGCCGCGGACCAGTAACGTGCCAGTGCCCTGTAAGGAACAACGGGTGAGTAAAGCTCGCCTGAGCTCCGCCTCCTGCACTCCCCTCCCCCACTGGTCCCTGGTGCCAAAAAGGCTGAGGGCCACTGACATAAAAGATGAAAAGTGCTATGGAAAGAAGTAAAGTAGGGTAAAAAGAATATGCAGTGATAAAAGGTGGGGGTGTAAATTTAAACAGAGTGATCATAAGATGGTTTGTGAGTCAAGAAAAATGAGGATGAAAGTCATTGAACATATAAGAGGGAAAACAGTCTGGGGACAGAAAAACTGGGGTCAGTGCAGTGTCTAAGGCTGAAGCCAGGTCTGGCATATTTGACCAACAGCAAGGGGGCAAGAATGGATGAAGCCGACTGAGTGAGAGGCAGAGGCAGGAGGAGAGCTCAGGGAGGGAGGCTGAGAACAGATCATGCGCAGGGTTGCAGTTGGTGGAAGAACTTTTTTTTTTTCAGAGTGAAATGAGGAGTCACTGGAGGGCTCTGAACAAAAAAGTGACATGACCTAACTTGGGTTTTAAAAGGATAATTTTGGCTAGAGTACTACAGCCAGGTAGAAGCAAGTAGATCTACTAGTAGAACCTTACTGCAGTAACCCAAGCTTGAGACAGCAGGACTTAGAGAAAGTTAAAAATGTAGTACTGGTGAGAATTGGTCTGAAAGCAAAAGTTAGATAGGATTCCCTAATGGCGTAGGCAGGAAATGCAAGAGAAAGTGAGGAGTCAAGAATGCCTGCATGGTTTTTGGCCATAACTGAGGGGTGAAAACTGCAGGTAGAAGTGTGGATGGCGGAAAGGGGGAGGAGTGGAGAAGTAGAGGCAGTGAAGAAATGCATCTCAGAGCTCTGTTCGGGACAGGTTACACTAGAGATGTCTGCTGGATCGACATCCAAGGAGGGAAGTCAAGTAGGCAGAAGTTCAGAAACAACCAGGTTGTTCAAGAGAGCATTTTGGGCTGCAGATATCAACTTAGAAGTCTGAAGTAAATATAGATGTTTAAAACTGATGATCACCTCTAGTGAGTGGAGAGAGAAAAGAGAAGTCCAAGGATGAGGCTCTGAGCACTCCAATGCAAAGGAATTAGGAAAGTAACCAACGAAGAAAGAAATCATGAGAGCACAATGTCCTTGAAGCAAGGAGTGAAAATATATTGAAGATGAGCAAGTAAACAGCCAGGACAAACGTGGCTGGCAGGTCAAGACAAACAGGCACTGATATTTGTTCCGCGGCTTGAGTAGTGATGAATTCATGGGTGACCTTGATGAGTGCTGGGAATGAAAGTCTCACTGAAATTGGCTTAAGCAGAGTAGAAAAGGAGGAATTGGAGATATGCAAGTGTAACAGTTTGGTATACAGAGAAGTAGAGAATAAGAAAGTAGCTGGAGGGGAGTCAGGGTTGGGAGGGTCTTTCGGCATCAAGCCTACAGCTTTATGCTAAGATGAACATCAGTGAAATAATGAAAGACAACTTACTACATCTTTGCTACTTCTCCCCAGACTAAATCTCAAACGAAGAGATCTTCGAACTTTTTCTTTACGACTGATTTTAGGAGAGAAGCAGCCTGCTTTTCCTGATTCCACCCTGAAAAGAGTGGAATTAAAAATGTCAATTTATAGCACAAAAACTGGAGAAATGTCTGCAAAATGAAATTTGAGAATGTCCACTGCCAATCATATTGCTAGTAACTCAAGAGTATTAATTTTCTAAAATCAGTTAAGCTTTAAGATACCATATATGAACATACTGTATTTGCATATAAAAATGATTTTTCCTATCACCAGAATTGTCTAGTTACTTATAAACCATAATCATTAGAATAAACTCTTTTCAAATAACCAGAAATTTAAAAATTACCCACAAAAACATGAAGTAGGATTTTAAGCAAGCAAATGACTCAGATTAGGAATCTTTCTCTGGAGGATATATAAAGGGCACCTGATTAATAAGACCATAAAGACAGAGAAAATTTTTAAAATTATAATTCTCGGGATAAAGACAAGATATTTTATTAACTATCTACATCAAATACTTATCCAATGAAAACACAATGTCCTGGATAAGTTACCTGCAAACTTTTTTGCTTGCAATCCTTTTACTTCGCCTTGGCACATCTGTGCTGATCAAGGGATTTCCACTGATGGCTACAGGAGAGAGTGAACTCTGAGATGACCCTTCTGGGCTTGTATCAACGTGAACTAGAAAAATAAACACATGCAAATATACCACACATACTTATTTTCTTTTTCAAAATAGAAACTATTAATAGCAATTAGAATTAAAGTCTTAATTTCTACCACTAAGTCACAATAAAAATCATATAACTTCTGCTTAAAAATTTCAGGGCCTAAATAACTCAACTCAACTAAAAAAAAAAAGGTTTCAATTTTCTCCTTTTTAGATGCCAATGAAAGGTACCATTGCTTTCACATTGGAGTTTTGCTTTAGACTCATTTAGGAATACAAGGGAGGATGGGGCACTGTTGGAGACTGGACAAAATGCAAGCTTTCATGACAGACAGACTTGAGTTTGTTCCATAACTTACTAAATGGCTTTAAGCTCTGAATATGGATTGCTATGGCACATATAAGTATTACTGTAATGTATGTAAAATGTCCACCACACTACTTGATGCGTAATACTAATAATTTTACCCAAAATAAACTATTAGAAAACAATTTAGAGTCTGAGTATCCAGTATGCACCTGCTAGCCAACTGCAGTCTATCTGACTTGAGTATAATTTGTCCAATATTTTTGGCAAAAAAACTATCTACAACACATGCTTAATCACCTGGCTACTGCCATGTTCCATGCTAAGAACTGGGGGTTACAACAGCTCATTTCTATCAAGTTTTCTAACACTATATCATGAAACTGACTATAAATTAGAAAACAAGTAAAATAATTATGAACAAAAGCTCCCTATACATTTGACTTATATTTGAATCATGCCCAGGATACACTCCACAAACATGAGCCCTCTTAACTCATCACTGGAAATGACAAAGAATTCACATGGGTCCCCAGAGACATCCATGTTTTAACATAATCATTAGAGTGACCTTGAGGTGCATTTGACTAAAGAAAATTTTGGAGGCCAATATGATATAGCCAATGTGACATAGGTAAGCTTTATTCTAAGGTTGCAGTGATCACAAGCAGGCATAGCCAGAACACATGGCATAGTGCAAAGTTATATATATATGAAAGAAATTATATATAGGTATTCATGGGTTTTAGATTCATGTCATTACCTTTATACATTAAAAAAAACAAAACAAAACACATTTAGTAGGTGGAATCTGTTAAATTATGCCTAAGAAAGTAGGGCCAAAGAAAAACGATGGGTTAAAATAATAGGATTACTACTGTTGAACTTCTTTACTTTTTTATTTTAAAAAAATTCACTGATTAAGCCCTGGCCAGTGTGGCTCAGTTGGTTGAAGCATTGTCCTGTAGACCAAAAGGTCACAGGTTTGATTCCTGGTCAGTGCACATACCCAGATTGTGGGTTAGATCCCTGGTTGGAGCACATACAAGAACACGGCCAACCAACATCTCTCTCTCTCTCTCCCTCTGTCTCTCTCTCTCTTTCTCTCAAAGCAATGAAAAAACGTCCTTGGGTGAAGATAAATAAATTTTTAAAAAATAACAAAATTAAAGAAAACTCACTTTGGTGAAGTTTTCTTTACTTCACCAAATAAATTTTGATATAACAAAATTTATTTGGTGAATAAATAACAAAATTAAAGAAAACTCACTGATTAAGCAGGCTAGTACTACTATTACAATAACACAAGAATGTATAACCTATTTGGGGGGAACTTAAGAGTAAAAGAACCAACAGGTTCATCCTTGGGGGAGATGCTGTAATGCCAATAAGCAAAGGCTTACTGTGCCATTTGGAAAAAGTCCTCCAAAGTGGAAAAGCCTTTTTAAATATAAAGAAAACACAAAGTTACTTTTAAAAAGTTAAAGTCTTCAACCTCTGAATACTGAGAAAGCTACAGTTGTAGCCTCAGAGTTCTTATCATTACACTTTAATCAAGCATGGAGAACCTGTGAAGGACCAGAAAACAAATTGCTACTGTTTATTTTTTTAATAAAACAAAAAAAGGAAAATATAAACCTTTTAGACAATGGAAACAAAAAGAGGCTTCTGAGAAGATCTCATAATGCAGTTAATGAATTCAAAATGGGACTCTTAGCATTGTCAGGAAACAATAAAAATCTCAAAGATCAGAGATCACTCATTTTGACTAAATGTGAGCTAAATATGAGATGGAGGACCCCAGCTTAGTTATGGTTTCATTTTGAGTTGACCATAAGGTTAATTAATATGAGCCAACTGTATTCTACACATGCTAAAGGAGCCAATTCAAAATTCAGCCTAAGGCTGAGCATCAGCAAGATGGAGGAGTGAATGGAAGTCACACTGACCTCCTCCCAGGACCAATCTGGAATTACAACTAAACTGTGGAGAAATCATCCAGAACAAAGAACTGAGCAATAGTGAGAGAGAAGCCTTATAACCTAGGACAGACAGCAGAATCAGCTTCAGCACAACCTGACTGGGAAGGAGTGTAGTGGAAACTCAAGAAGGCTGGCTGGGTGCCCACAAGCAGCAGAATCAGAGGGATATGTAAGCAGCCAGTGGTATCCCCCTGTGAAGAGTGGGGTCTAAACCATAAGTGGGGATCCCCAACTTCAGCACCAGAACCCAAAAAATACAGATAACAACCAGCTGCACAAAGCAGCAGGGTTGGTCTCTGCCAGAGACAGGCAGCTGGAGATGCAAAGAGCCGTTTAAAGGGCCAATGCACAAATTTTCATTTGTAGCCACTTACCCTGGGCTCCGGAAAAGGAGGAGACAGAGTGGGCTAGAGACGTCTGAGGAGAGACTGGGAACAGAGGCTTTTGGGGAGAGAACGGAAAGAATAGCCATTGGAATCCCAGTGCTAACTCATCCCCCATAGGGCAGCAGCCATCCCGCTCAGGTAGATCACTCCACTCTGAGCAGCCAAAGGGGAAACAATAGCCCTGACCTCAGGAGGGATTCTACCCTGCCCTATGGTGCTTAAGCCTGACTACTGAGTGCAGAGTGACAAGATTAACAGCTGAAGGAGATAGTCATAGACAGTAGACCCCTGAAAATTTCCAACAGACTGTCCAAGGTCAGATGGGGTCAACATCTGACATCACCAGAGGTGGATCCAGAAAGAAAAGACAATGGTAAATACTAGAGGCTACCGAGATGAAATCCACTGTGGTCTTCTCCATGATTTGCGATATTTTCTTTACTGCATAGTTTTTAAACATTCATTTCTTATCCATCAAGTCTGTGCATATTGTCATTAGATTTTATACTATATTTCATCACTCTCCTTTCTTATAATAGTTTTAATCTCTTTAGAGCCTTATTAAGATTGGTTCATTTGGTGTTGATAGTGGGATTGCCAGGAGGAGTTATTTTTGTGGATGTGGATTTGTTTCCTGTGCTTTGTGGTTTTGTTCTGGCAGCACCTGCACAACAACAACATGGTAGGCAAAGTGACCGTCAGTCAACCAGCTGGAGGTAAGGACCCATCAAAGAACAAGTAAACAACTTTCAGAGAGCCAACATAAACAGCATTAAAGGCATCCCAAGAGCATCAAGTTCAGGAGATCAAGGAGACTGCATCACTGAATTTCACATGTCTCCTACCATAGAAGTTCACACCACAAAGTCAGGGAGTCAAAAGAGATCAATTTAAGAAGCAGAAGCAAACAAAAAGAGTCTCACAAATAATGGGAAGACAAAGAAACAACCCCCAATTGAAGGGAAAGGAGAAATTCCCAGAAAGAGTGCTAAATGAAATAGAGGCAAATAAACGATCAGATATTCAGTTCAAAACAATGGTTATAAGGAAGCTAAATGTGCTCAGTGAGAATTACCAAAAACTACAGGGAAATATGAGGAACTTACTGCAAACTACATCAGCATGGAAAAGGACACAGGAACTACCAATAAGACAAGAGGAAATGACAAATACAATTTCTGAATTGAAGAACACAGTAGAAGGAATCAAGAGCAGGCTAGAGGAAGCAGAGGATCGAATGAGCCAGCTGGTGGACAATGTAGAAAAAAGCTCACAGAAAGAGCAAGAAAAGGAAAAAACACTCAAAAAGAATGAAGAGGGGTTAAGGGAAATGCAGGACAATATGAAATGTAATACTATGTGTATAATAAGGATACCAGAAGGAGAAGAGGAGCAAGGGATAGAAAATGTGTGTGAAAAAGTAATGATGGAAAATTTCCTAATCTGAGAAGAGGAAATGTCACAGAAGTCCAGGAAGCACAGAGGGTCCCAATCAAGAGGAACCCCAAGAGGCCCTCTCCAAGATACATCATAATTAAAATGGCAAAATTCAAAGGCAAAGAGAGAATCTTAAAAGCAGCAAGGGAGAAACAAATAACATACAAGGCTAGCAGCTGACTTCTCAACAGAAACACTACAAGCCAGGAGGGAATGGCAAGAAATATTCCAAATAAGAGAAAGCAAAGGCCTGCAACCAAGACTACTCTACCCAGCAAGGCTCACATTTAAAATGGAAGGTGGAATAAGGAGCTTCCCAAACAAAAGGCGGCTAGAAGAATACACTTCCACTAAACCAGCACTGCAAGACATGCTTAAGGGACTGCTTTAAGAAGATGAAGAAAAAGAGTGAGAAAGAGGAACACAGGTACAAAGGAGAAAAATGAATAAGTATCTATCAATAACAACGTTAGTTGTAAATGGATTAAATGCTACAATCAAGACACACAGGTGGCTGAATGGATTAGAAAACATGACCCTTATATATGCTGCCTACAAGAGAACCACTTCAGAACAAAGGACCTACACAGACTGAAAGTAAAGGGATGGAAAAAAATATTCCAAGCAAGTAGACAGGAAAAAAAAATAGAGGTAACAATACTTATATCAGACAAAACAGATTTCAAAACAAAGGCCATAAAAAGAGACCCAGAAGAACACTTCATAATACTCAAAGGAAGAATCCATTAAGGAGACAAAAACATTGTAAACCTATATGCACCTAACACGGAGCACCCAAATATATAAGGAAAATCTTGGAGGCCTTCGAGAAAGATATAGACAGTTAGGGCACATGCCTGAGTTGTGGGCCAGTTACCCAGCAGGGGGCACTCGAGAGGAACCACACATTAATTTTTCTCTCCCTTTCTTTCCCCCTCCCTTTCCCTCCCTAAAAATAAATAAAATATATTTTTTAAAAGCTTTATAAATTTATTCTTACAAAACTGTTACTTAGGGCTAAAGAGTGAGGTAATATGTTTACATTATCAAATGTTATATAAAACTAAATTAATACCATGCAATTCCATGAAATAAAAATAGGCAAGTTGCAAAGAGGCAAGATTCTGAACACATTATTAACTTAAACTAAATGGACTAAAAGGTGCATGTAATTCTCTGTAAACACACTGATAGTAGGAAATTTTAACACCCCACTGTCAACAATGGATTGATCTTCCAAACAAAGTATCAAAAAGGATATTATGGACTTGAACAATGCATTAGATCAAATAGACTTAACTGATATATACAGAACCTTTCACCCCAAAGAAGCAAAATACACATTCTTTTCAAAGGCACATGGAACATTTTCAAAGATAGACCACATGATAGAACACAAAGCAAGCCTATATAAATTCAAGAAAATTCAAATCATAACAAGCATTTTCTTGAGCCACAAGGGATTGAAACTAGAAACCAACCTCAATTAATCCCTGGCCGACATGGCACAAACAAAAGGTCACCAGTTCTGAACCCACAACCCAGGGAACATGCCTGGGTTGAGGGTTCAGTCCCCAGTCGGGATACGTACAAGAGGCAACTGACTGATGTTTCTTACATCACTGCTTCTCTCCCTCCCGGCCCCCTCTCCAAAAAAAAAAAAAAAAAAAAAAAAAAAAAAAAGCCCTGGTTGGTGTGGCTCAGTGGATTGAGCGCCAGACTGCGAACCAGAGGGTTGCCGGTTCCATTCCCAGTCAGGGCGCATGCCTGGGTTGTAGGCCAGGTCCCCAGTAGGGGGTGCGTGGGAGGCAAGCATACACTGATGTTTCTTTCCTGTTCTTACTCCCTGCCCCTCTAAAAATAAACAAAAATAAAATCTTTTTAAAAAATTAAAAAATAAAAATAAATAAAATCTTTAGAAAGTAAAATATAAGTAAAATTTAGGGGACTTTATAAAGATTCAGATCTGATTAAAAAAAGAATAAAGCTCTGGCTTTTCAAGGGTGGTATTAATGTGAAATAGCACTTTGCCTAGAATAGGCACCCATGTTAATATTTACAACCCAATTATATAAATTACATTTGGTACCTGATAGTGGTGTAGAACTGGTACTGAAGAGGTTGCTTGGCAACAAGTCAAAGTTAAAATTGTGCTTGATAGACTTCCTTTTCTTGCTTGAGAAGCCATAAGAATCTACTGGCAGTTTACGCTTAGCATTTGGTGTAAGAATCACTGGTGACTCAGATAGTTGTGCTGGAAAAACAAAAACAACAAAAAAACCAATTTATTGTTTCTCCCACAAAGTTGATAAAATAAAAAAGCTTTATAGCCTGGCTGGTGTGGCTCAGAGGATTGAGCACCAGCCTGTGAACCAAAGGATCACTGGTTCGATTCCCAGTTAGGGCACATGCCTGGGTTGTGGGCCAGTTACCCAGCAGGGGGCACTCGAGAGGAACCACACATTAATTTTTCTCTCCCTTTCCCCCTCCCTTTCCCTCCCTAAAAATAAATAAAATATATTTTTTAAAAACTTTATAAATTTATTCTTACAAAACTGTTACTTAGGGCTAAAGAATGAGGTAATATGTTTACATTATCAAATGTTATATAAAACTAAATTAATACCATGCAATTCCATGAAATAAAAATAGGCAAGTTGCAAAGAGGCAAGATTCTTAACACACTATTAACTTAAACTAAATGGACTAAAAGATGCATGTAATTCGCCTTAAACAATATTAACATAGGAAAGAAAATTATAATCAAGGAATTAAAACAAAAACTAAATATTATTTTTGCTTTTCATTATAACTCAGTATTAATCAGTTAATTTATTCAATCTGGAAAACAAAACAAATGATTATATTGTCTGTTATAGGACTAAATAATTTCAGCCATAGCAAAGTAAGATAAAAAAACTGGAACATACACTAATAAACTTCTGGTTTATAAAACAAAAGATTGAATTATTTTCACATATTCAATAACATCTAACTTACAAGCAACAGAAAAGCATAATTTTGAAGACTGAAGATATAATAGACTAAAAGAAATTCTTATAATTTTGGCTTCATTATATTCAATGTAATTAGCAAGTCACAAACATATAATAGCACAGTATCCCCATTGAAAGTAACACTGAATTTAATTAAACCAAAATAATTCAGACATTTTCATTTAAATAAATACGTATAATACCTACCGATTCTTTCTTGTTGAGGCGTAATAGAGGGTGTTCTGTTATATTTAAGTTTATTTAGTGCTCCACTGACAAAGTCTGAAATGCAAGATATACACAATCATATAGTCAATTATAACTTAACATTTACCTGTCTTTCACCAGTAATTCACATTGATATTTGTGGTCTTCTAGCATCTAAGTTCGTGTCAACCTATATGTTTTAAAGGTAATTTAAAGTTATTTAAAAGGAATTATTTCAAAATAGGAAAAAACTAAATGATATATTTTTATTCCATTCCACTTTTACTCCCATATCTCTCAAAAAAAAAGATATACAATACTGAATGATATGTAAGACAAATATTTATAATGTACAGAAAGGTAAGGAAGAGGAAGGTAGAAGAAGTGGTAACAGGAGAGAAAGCTTTGCAGGATAAGTAAAACCTTGCCTGTTCTTGAAGGATTAGTAGGTGCTGACTTGGGCTAGGTGAATGGCATATGCAAAAGCACGTAAGTAAAAACAGGATTTATGTATACTAGAAACCAGTAGTTCAATGTTGCTGGAGCAAACAGTCAGCAGTGGATATTGTAAGAGATACGCCTTCCATATTAGAAAGAACAGCGCCTGTTTGTCGTTTTGAAAAACTTGAACTTCTCCAAAGGCAAAGGGGAGCAAAACTGTCTGACCTGCATTTTAGAAAAATTACTCTGGCAGCAGTTTAAAAGACAGGCCTTAGGCAGCAAGCTTCCCCGGAGGCAGGCCAACTAGCTGAAGGTTCTTCTACGTATGTTACTACATCATTAATCAAGTATGTAATTTGTACCTACAATGCATCATGCACCTGCTAGCATTAGCGATACAACAGTGACCAAAACACAGTTTTTTGCCTTTAAGGTACTCATTCTCTGAGAGGAAACAAACTAAATACCCCAAGAAAATACTAAATGTATAATGACAAATGGATTAAGTAGTCTGAAGTTAAAATATAACAACAGGTTTATACTAGGGAGTCCACAGTGTCCCTAAAGAAGTTATATTTGAAATCTGATGGGCCCTGGCTGGTCTGGCTCAGTGCATTGAGTGCCAGCCTCTGAACCAAAAGGTCACAGGTTCAATTAGCAGTCAGGACACATGCTCGGGTTGTGGGCCAGGTCCCCCATTGGGGACCAATGAGAAGCAACCGATTGATGTTTCTCTCCCTCTCTTTCTCCCTCTCTTTCCCTCTCACTAAGTTTTAAGAAGGAAGGAAGGGAGGGAGGAAGGAACGGAGGGAGGGAGGGAGGGAGGGAGGGAAGAAGGGAAATTAGCCAGACAGGAGATGAAGGTCAGAGCAGAGACAGGAACAGTGGAAAATGGAGGCAGGAATAAAGGTATTTAGAAGATCAAAGTAACAAGAGTTAGTGAGCATTGAGATGTAAGGGTGAGAAAAGAGTAAATATAATATACTCTTCTAAATATAAATATAAAATTCTGCTTTTGGTAACTGAGTAGACAATAGAGCTACCAAAAGAAAAAGGAGATTATGAAAGGAAGAGTTAGACACGTCTCTGAGACACTGAGATGGATATGATTCCATTTGCAGGAAGATCTAGGCTGGAGAAGTAGATTTGGGAATTGTCAGCCTAGAAATGGTAGTTTTTAAAAATGACAGTGAATAAGATCATTTAAAAAGGGGACAAAGAGTAAGAAGATGATCAAGTATGAAAAAATGGAAAACTTAAGAGGTGGTAAGAAAAAAATGAAATCCAGAAAAATGAAAACAAATGGCTTACAGAGGTAGGAAAACCATGAAAGCGTAGTATTACAAAACAAAAACAAATAACGAGGAAAGAAAAAATATCAGGAAGGAAAGGAAACAGTTAAGTGGTCAAAGAAGCTCTCAATAATGTAACCAAGAAAATATACACTGGATTTAGCTACTAGGAAATATTTTCCTTCAACAGGAATATTTTCATGCACAAATACGCCCCTAATTTTCAGTCACGATGAAACACAAAAGTCTTCTAAATATGTTAATTTACTGGATTAATCACCAAATACCACTCAAAATAGTTATTTAAATTCAAGCTCAGATTTTACACCCTCAAATGAAATATGTACAAATCAGAGGAGAATACTGAAAACCTCAATGAAGAGTGAAAAATAGGCAATGATCTAACTCTCAGGCAATGGCTAACCAAGCCAACCTTCATGAAACCAGGGCAGATAAACAAGATTAATATGGGAGAAGGAAAATAAAATGAAAAAGGAAGAAAAGTGAAAGGAGAGCCAGAGTAGTTAGAAGAAACAATAGAGCAACAGATTGAGCCATAGCGGTAACACACTAGACCAGCAGAGCAAAACCAGGAGTATGAAGACAAACTGTTCCCTCTATAATCTGAAACCGTCCTGAATGCATAGTGGGCCACATTGAAAGTACAGACCATCTCTCTAGAGAAAAAGAAAAATTATGTCCTAATCCCTTTAATAGTTTCATGAGCTTACTATACGTATTTTAGGAAGTACCATACTAAGAATGGCATCACATTAATTAAATCAGCTCAGCGCTGCATCACTGTCCATGAAAGACATTGGTTAGCACAAAGCCAGTTCAGAGGGGTGCACACACTTGCATACACAGGCAAGAATGGGAAAATTATGATAGACCAAATTCTTCTTACTTAAGAGTTTGCTCATGGAAGTCTGTGTAGATTCTGGAGCAATACGATTATTGAGAATTGTTGTATCTATCATAAAATTAAGCTAGAGTAACTAATTCAGATAATAGCAAAATAAAAGTTCTAGAGATTGGTTGCACAATGTGAATGTACTGACCATTATTGAAATTACACTTAAAAATGGCTCACATGGTAAATTTTATTATAGTTTTCCACAATTTAAGAAGTCAAAAGATTCTTCAAGGCAACTGCAAACAGCTCACACTGCTGTTTGTTTTGTGTGGCATTTTAAAGTCAGATGCAAAAAAAGAGGCTAGCTACAACATAAAATAAACACTAATGGTCTGGAGCTCCTGAACAGTTTCAAATTGCTAATAAAATTGATGTATTTTATGATACTTGACAAACGCTATCATAACCTGTTTGAATAAAGTACCTCTGAGTTTAAGCCAAATAATCAGTAACTCAACTTGCTGTATTCACTCAGTAATTTATGCTTATTCAGTAAACAAAACAAAACACTGGGCTGGATAAAATGACGTATAAAACATGGTGTCTACCTTTAAGAGCATTAAATACAATAGGTAAGAGAGTTATGCACAATGAGTGAATATAAAACCAGATGAAAACTATTAGAGTCTAGAATATTATAGACTGTTGGATTGAAGAAATATTCCTACTGAAAAAAGGAGGGGGAAGCTTAGTTGTTGACAAGACATTCAGGCTGAATTTTGACAGCTGGATATAATTTGAATAGCAGGAGTAGATGGAAGTAAAAACTTTATATGCAAAAGAACAAAGTGTCTAGAAAACAATACAGAATACAGCTTGACTACAGCATAGATTGCATAAGGGAGAAACAAGAAAAAGTACAAAAGGCATGCTAAAGCATGCTTTAATGTCAGTCTATGAACATCAGTATTTATCAATGGAAGTTTCTGAAGAGTATGTGTGTGAGATACATGATTAGAGTTATACATCAAGAATATCAGCTTTGACAGCAACGGCAGAGCAGATTCAAAGAGGAGGCACAAAAACCAAGGTGATTCTTACAGTAAAGATGCAGTAAACATTGCAGATAGAATCTTATAGAATCTGAAAACTGGAAATATAGATAGTAAGGCATCAATGGCTTAAAGCCCAAGTGATTAGAGAATGGCAGTGCTATTAATAGGAAATGGAATTCAAGTAGAATCAGTTTTAAAGAAGGTAAAAACGATCATTTCAAACTGCTCAGCTTAAACTACCAAGGAAAAGCCAAAGTGGAAGGTGTCTGCCTATTAGTTCTTTACTAAAGTGGAACTGATGTGGTTAAATAAAAAATTGTTATTAAATAATGTGATAAATTATTACAAAATAAAGTAGAACTGGTATTTGCAAGATAACAGTGAAAGTTAGAGATCCAGTGTTTACCTATTTAGATAAGATAACCAAAACTATAGGAGTGAATGAAATCATAAAGGGAAGCAGGGTAATAAAGGCAATCAGTCTGAGAATAGCCTCCAAGGAGAACTGAATTGTGTCCTCCAAGATACGTTTAAGTCCTAACTCCCAGTGCTTATGAATGTGACCTTATTTGTAACTAAGGTCTTTGCAGTTGTACTCAAGTTTTGCTTTAAGCAACCTAGTTTGTGGTACTTTGTTACAGTAACCCCAGGAAGCTGATGCAGAAGGCGTAAGAGCAATCTACAAAGGAAACAAAGAACAGAAGGCAATGCCATATAAACCAAAAGATTAAAAACCAAATGTGACAATAATAATTTCTTCTGATACTCAAAAAATAAATTTCTAAGACAATTAGAAGAGGTATGGCCAGACTTCATCAATGAGGAGATAAGAAGTTTTATAACTGATTTCACCACAACAGCATTCTGGGTCTTTTTGATTCTTCCTTGGCAATGTTCCTTCACTATTTATTTCATATTCCTAACTAATTCATATCATTTAAAAATTATGATCTCACACCTGGATTATTGCCACACATTTGTGACTACTGTCCCTACCTCCAAGTCTCAATTCTCCATACCAGGTAACTTTCTAAAATATTTTAATCACGTTATGCTTCTTCTCATTAAACCTTCAATGGTTCTCCAATGCCCAGCTTAATATTCTAATTCTTTAGCCTGACATTGAGCTCACCAAAATATCATCCTAATAAATACTTCAATCAAGTCACACTGGTCATTTTACATAATGATTAGTTCTTCCTTACAAAAATCTTCTTTCATAGCATCCTTCTCATCCAGAATAAAATACAAGTATTCTAACCCTCCTCCCAACCCCCCCTAGATTCTACCTGTTCTTCAAGAAGGTTCAGTTTGACCTATTTGAAGACTCCCTGATTATTACAATCCTGGGAACTTTTCTCATTTGAACACATTTGGTTTGCACTAAAGATCTAGCTCTTAATATTAGATTGTATTGTCATTTTTACTTTTCACATGCATATATCATGTCTTTCCAACCATGCTGTAAGCACCAAAAAGGCATACACCATAATTTCTGCTTCATGTTCATATACATTTCAGATAAAAGCAAACTGCTGTACCTCCATAAAACAGACTGTTACTGCCACTTACCTCCTACACTTTGTCTTCGCTTTCTCTTATAGTCAACAGGGGTTTCATATTCACCTTCTTCAAAGCCTTCCAGTGATGGAGTAGCACAGAGACCTTCAACACCCAACATAGCCGGTATCTTTTCCAGGATAAAATCTGGAACATGCCCTAATGGAAAATGTTCACAGTTAAGATCTTTCCTCTTCTATCCCTTGAAATGTTTAAATAGTATACACCAACTTTCTAACAGTTATCTGCACAGTTCGCTTGGAAGAAGGGGGGATCTCCCTCCTTTAAACAAATCCCATTACTTAATAATGCAACTACATCTTACCAATATCTGATGCACAATCAATAAAAGTCTGCACTACTGCAGCCTGTAATCGTAGCTTTTTTTCTGCATTGGCAGGTATCTTTTCATGTCCTCTGCTTGTCTGAAGGAGGTTTGGTGCAAATATCACTGCAAGATTGCTACTATCCATCTTATTCTCACTGGACCTTCATAAAAAAATTTTATGAGATGGCACCAAAGATAAAAATAAAGAGTTAAAATAATGTATTAAGGACATTTTGAAGATCTCTTACTTTACCAGTCAAGCACAAGTTAAAATACAGTTACCTTTCACTCACCCATTTTAATAATAATTGGCTTGAAATAAGACAGAACCAGAAATATACAGCTTAAATACATATTTATCATAAAAATCATGCAAACCACAGAGTCCACACTTTGTTTTTCCACACAAATTGAACATGTTTGATTTTCAAACCCTTTAACAGGAAATCTGAAGTACTAGAAGGCAGAAAGTATGTCTAGAACAAGCAGGCTCACTGACAGCAGGAAAAAGAGACAAATTTGAAAAGCAAAACACAAATATTTTAAAAACACAGTAATCTATAACAATTCAGGGGACAAAGGATCCTATAATCACCAATAAGCTATTAAGGCATTCATAATGATCAAAGACAGCAAAGAATCAGTAAATCATTTGGTATGTTGTTTCTTAAACTATACAGGGTAGACTTCTTATAATAAGGATATATATATATATATATAATATTTTTTAGAAAATTGAAATTTATTATCTATTAGAATAAATCCAGCTAATTGAGAAATTAAACTCTCATTTCCCACAACTTTTAATCACTACTTACCTAACAGAAACATTCCTGAGGAAGTTAAAGAAGTATCTTAATATATCAATAGTGTGGCCAGGCATAAGACAGGAGAGCAACAATGTAGCTTTATTCTTCTGCTCTGTTCCTAACTCTTGAGCTTTGAAAAGTGCTTCATGCAAATCAGCTGGGAGAATGGGCTCTGGCAATTCCCTAAAAAACTGCTTAACGAGTCCTGCAATATCACAAGGCAGTGCAGAAGACAGGCCACTGTCACCGTGATCCAGTTTATCCTGAAATAAATAAAATAATCCTAAGCATCTGGGGGCTTACGAGCATATTGCAAATAAAATACCCTTTCTTATACTCTACAGAGCTTTTTAAAATAAATTTCTCTGAACTGTTGTTTTAATACATATGACTTTTTTAGAAGGCTAAAAATAATAAAATTTAATGTTTTTTCAGGTATTGGAACAAGGACCATGAATTTGAAACTAAACTTTTAAAGTATTGTATAAATAGCTGATTGCAATCATTTCACAATGTATGTGTAACTGAAAACACCAAGTTGTACATCTTAAATGTACTTGTGAATTATATCTCAATAAAACAAACAAACAAAAAAAGCATTATATAAATGATATACTCTCTTGGAAAAAAAGTTCTTTTGCCATGAAAAAGCTATTTGCAAACTCAATTTCTGTCAATAATTCATGCAATACTTCTAAATAGTTCAACAGTAAAAACCAAACCAAAAAGTGGTACAAAAGAAAAATTACAGTTCAAGAATATGCTTACCTTTAGAGCTTTTAGACGAATAACAGATCCTGATTTCCTAAAAAGCCCTTCTGTATGAATATGCTCTTCTAGAGATGTGCAAGCATCAACAAGAAAACTGAAAGAGAGAAATCTTTTCAGGTGGCCAAATACACATCTTTCTAAGCCCTAATATTCCGTCAAAGTATATGAGCAGACTAGGGACTACACCTCTTTCAGAAGCTCCGAGGCCACAGATCTCTTTAGTCTGTGATAAATGATTACTTGCTCCCTAAATTCATCTTGAGGGCCCACCCATTTACCCATGACAATGAACCCACAGGTCCCACATCCTTCCCAATCCTCCATTTTTCTGCTTCCACTCAGAGCATAGGACTTGTCTTTTGCACTGTCTCTATTCCTTCATATCTCAGTCTCTACTGCACCAAATCAGACCCTCATCCCCATTCCTCCAGCAAAACAGCTCTCATCAGAGTGGCAAATGGCCTCTGCCTTGCCAAATCTACGGTCAATTCATTGTCTTCATCTTCTTGTCCTACCAGCATTTGACACACTTGACTACTCCCAGCTTATCTTGAAAATACTTATTCACTCTTCTGGTTTTCCTGCTGACTCCCTGACTGCTTCTTCTCAAACTCCTTTTCTGGATCCTTTTTCTGCCAGATTCTACATTCGAAGATGACCCAGAGCTCTGCCTAAGGCCTTCTCTTCTTCATTCTCTCTCCACATGTGATCTTGTACAGCATACACAGCTTAAAATACCTACCATCCACTAAACTTGCCCAAAAATAAAGCAAGGTTTTTCCCCACTCACTCCAACATTACCTCTCAGAGAAGTCATATATATCGCAGTTCTTACAATCCTTTTCATATTTAAAGATATGTGCTCTATTCTCATATTGAACAATTTTTAATAATCAGTGTAGGCTTATTTGCTTAGTTAACAGCTGGTACCAACAAATTAGAGTGGATGTCAGCTGTAAACAACTGATAAAGTTGCACAGGTGAACAGTGGCTGAACATCGCAGACGGTAACTGACAGAAGAGTGTTTTTTGTTTTAAACATGAAAAGAAATTACAACAAAAATGCAGCCATTATTACTGAGAATGTGACTTTCCAATTCTAAATGTTTAAAATCATAAACAAACCTTTTATAGATTATTTAAAAAGCAAAATAGTAAGGGATTACCTTACGAAGATTGTGAATCTACACCTATAGACTGAGGGAGAATGGTTCTAAGGCAGCAAGGTGTTCCATAAATGTTTTTGAACAATGTGTCAATTAAAAACCTAGGTTATCGGAATACACTAAAAACTCCTTTGGACATAGGAAAAAATAATTAGAAAAAGCTAAAATAGTTTCTTAACATGCATTTAAACTGTTTTCTTAAGATGTAAACTTCTGTGGTAATTTCTGATGCAGTTGGTCCAAAAGATTATTTATAAATAGTAAGCAACATAGAAAGGCTCAAGTTTTATATAATTTATATTACAAATACTCTAACACCTCAGCACAATATTCTTTTATCCAACTGTTCCAAAACACACAAAAATATCAAAACTGTAGCTGAATTGGTGAATCAGTACATTACTGAATGTAATCAGAATTGTGGGAAAAAATAGTATAGAAGTAAAACTCTAATTCGATAAAACAAAAATAATTTGCTTTCTAGCATTCATTCATTACTAAATCTTAAAAATCAATCCTAGGAATGAGTATGAATTAAAAAGTTAATATTATGTAAAAGTTAAAAAAAATTTTTTACATCGCTATTGAGAAATGGAATCATTTGCTAGTTCAAAACAAAAGTGTGAGTCGAATACCACTTTGAAATATTTATTCTTCATTTCAAACTTTACTTACCTTGGAATTTGTCCATATTCTGGTACAACAGAATGGGTCAATGCATTAATAGGTACTCCAAATATTTTACCCTAAAACGACAAATATAGTTCCTCTAACACAAAATTAAACATAATGTAAGTAACTTCAGGAAATAAAAAAGCAAAAATAAACTATCAGTTAAGAAAACTAAAGCAATTATTTCAAGTACTTTTGGTAAAAAGTAACTGTATTATCCTAGGTGTTGAGAGTATGATGATGGTAAAATAAAGCTATTGCCCTCAAGGGATGTGGTAAATTCCATCAGTTTCCAATGCCTTAATAGAAAAATCAACCCAGTGAGTGCTCAGTAAGGAAATTCTTAAATGCAATTTGTCCCAAAACACTAACATTTCCCTCAAAATACTACCTATTCCTTCAGCCACCTTATAAATACTGACCTTGTATCTTACTTTTATCACCTTATAAATACTAATTTGAACAAAAAGCTAAGTTAATTGATTGGGTACTTCCTAAAATTACAACTGATTACCTTTTCCACACTTCATGGAAAAATGCAATTCAAACTATGTTCTAAGATACCCAAGGCAGGGATTCTGGCAACACTTAATTCAAATTTCACTTAACTACTTTGAAAGTAATTTTAAACAGTCACATTGAAATGTAATACTCAATTATTCAAATTTTAATACACTCAAAATCCTAAGAGTAAATTTGTATATGCTGGTTAACTTGCATGCTTGTACTCACCTTGCCACTTTCTTTGGGCATGCTTTCAAATTTCTTAAAAATGTGTCACTGATTAAGAAGGTTGTAGCTTTTCACTAAACTTAAAATAATTAAAGCTTGTATATGTCTACTTATACAAAATCAACTAAGTGGGTATACTTAATATTTCACCTGTTAATTTAGTTTAAATGCATCTGTTCTCCAAGAATGATCTTGAAGCTCTTACGTTTTAAGAGCATCTTATTTAACCCTATATTTACAATAAGAAACCATTCAGCATTGTTAATAATTAAATGCACTAACAAAAATCTCACTAGTCCCTTTTCAAGCATCTGGCTCTATTTAACTGACAAATATAGAAAAGACAGTGCAATACAATGCTTAAGAGAGCAAGACCCTAGAGGCAAAACTGCCAGATTTTCAATCCTGGCTCTTCCACTTACCAAGTGACCTTGATCAAATTAACCTTCTCTATGCCTCAGTATCCTAACATAGGTCCTAAGTCATAATTATATAAAGAATTAAAAGATGTAAAACATTTTTATCAGTGTCTGACACAGAGTAAGCATTCAAAGAACATTTATAGGTGTTATGATTACCATTTCAAGATGAACTACTTTTAAAAAATGTTAGTATGAGCAATTCCTTATTTGGGTAAATCAAAATTTCCTTGATACTATGAAAGCAAACAAAATGCAAAAATAAATCAGATGCTGAAGCTGATCGTAAGCCTACAAATGTCGAATTCAAGGTGGGCTTTTTTTCCCTTAAATCTCATTATTCTAATACTTGGTTTCACAAGTAACTGCTAAATTTAATCTCATAAAATAAAGAACATGCTTTTTAAATTTTATGTATTGGAATATCATTTATAATACCATCATTAAAAGAACTATGATTAAGCTACTAACCAACACCAAAGAACTGAAGAAATCTAGTTTTCAAACAACTACCTATCTTGTTAGATTCCATTCATATAACACTAAAATCTTCCGTATTTCTTTATCAGAATATTTTATTAGTGTTTCTAGCATGACTATCAAGATGCAAACCACTTATTATCATTAGTTTAAGTGGCATGTCACAGGCATTGTGCTAGTCCTATCTACAGATATTAATGTTTTTTAAACAGCCCAAGAAGAGAGACCATCATTCCCACTTTCTAGAGTAGGAAGCTGAAGCTTAGGAAAATGAAACAAGCAGTCCAAGATCACATCCCTCGTAGGGGTAGAACAGCAGTCTAACTCAGGTCTCTCAGAATCTAAAGAAAAGCGTCAGTTTTTTTTAAGAGGTTAAAAAAAGAGTCCTTATATAAATTCATACACTTACAAAACCAACGATATTTGATATCTTGGAAAGCAGTTTTACAACAAGAAAAAAACAGTTTCTTTTTAAATATAAACAAATATGTTGCCATTAAGTTGCAAACAACAAAAAAACAATTTCTCCAGAATTTATAAGAGGTATACAAATTATATTTGCTAGTAGTTTTCCTTTTCCAAGTACTTCTTATCTTTCAGAAAATAAAAACTATTAAGAGTTAGTTTTATCAGTTTTCAGCTGTAATTACTTAGAAAGCACCATATAATTAAGCAAATAAGTTTAAAATAAAATGCTTTATAGTTTATTTTTCTTAATGAGATTCGTGATGATACAGTAGAGAATATAAATCCCATTCAAAATTCCCCTACCTTGACCACCCAAAATCAACAGCTTTTTAATCATTTCACTCTGGCTTCTCATCTTATTTAAGGGGAAAAAAAAAAAAAGCTTTGTCTCAAAATATGATATAGTTAAGTTGCAAGCTTTTGTTTTTTTTTAAGCTCGTGATTAGAGAGGCATTATCTGAAGTCTATTCCTAATGTTCTATCACACCGCCTGATCCCTTTAGAAAATGTACTGGTTCCCCTGGTCCTTCCTCGTCAAATCGTACTCTACAACAGCGGTGTAGGGTTTGTCTCCTTTCTCATGTGCTACTTGTTTAAAATACAATAAACTGGCAATACCTGGAAGTATTTTTGTCACAACTGGGAGATGCCACTGGCATCTAATGGATAGAAGAGATGTCGCTAAACATCCTACAGTGCAGAGGACAGCTACATATGTACCCCCCGCCCCCCGCCCAGCAGTTCTCTAGCTCAAATGTCAAGAAGCTGAGACTGAAAAATCCTGCAACTTTCTCTCAATGGCCAAAAATCCCTGTAAAGAAATAAAAAATGTCATTCTTTGAATTTCAGCAGTTGACCCTTTGGATTAAATTAGACACACTTCACCACGTTCCCTCCTGAATCCATACAGAATGAACATTTTAGCATGACCTGGTAGTGATAGTACAGGGGGTGTTCTTCCCCCGCCCCTAAATATTCCCCAGAACTTACCACTATTTCCGTGGCTGCTGTTTCTTTTCTCTTGCGAGTGCAGTGCCCGCGGTCACCTTTGACCTTGATGCCATAGACAGCCCGAAGGTGCTGCAACAAGGCCAGCCTCACCAGCCTCTTATCCCACATCCCGGATACGTCGCCCACTCTCCGAGGCAGGATCTGGGCCCTGAACCTCGCTCGCCACCAGGTCTTCCAATTTCCGAACACCCCAGCCACTTCCACTTCTCCACCAACCGTCTGATCCAGCCACACCTCACCGTTCTTTCACTCACACAGACCTTCTTTCAACCACTTACACAGACCTTCCTTGTCCTTTCGACCACGCCCGTCACCAGCTTCTCACTACTTCCAGCCAAAGAGCCCTTCCTCCAAACCTAACTTTGCCCTCGTCTTCTCTCGAAGTGTAAAGACGACTCTTGTCGCCTCTCCCGTCCCCGCTGGGTCAGCCGAGTGTGTTCGTCTCCGTCCCCGCAACCCGCGCGTCAGCCCAGCCGCCGGACCAGCCGGCTGCTTAGGCGCCTCTTCCAGTCCCGGTCCCCGCCCGGGCTGGTCACCGCCGTCACCCCGTTTCACAGGCCGCTCCTTCCCTCCCCCATTAGCCTGCATGCGGCCCTTGGCCTGCACATCCTGGTGCGTTCATTGAAGCCAAAAAGGTCTCCTCATGCCTCCGCCCCCACCGCCCCTGCAGACAACTGAAGCCACGGTGGGCCGTGTCACCTTCAGTTCTCGCCCAGGCTCAAATGGCAGCGCCAAACAGCGCTCCACTCTGATTGGCCCGCTCCTCTTTTCAAACTCAGGACCTCGGAGGGTGGCCAGAAGCTGCCTGGCTAGCAAGGTGTGGGCGAAGGGTGAGGAGGGCAAAATTAAAAAGCATAAAAAGACATGTGAGTTCCACTTTCTCCTTCATAGCCATATTTTTAGAGGAAAATACTTTATAAAGAGTACTTTAAAACACTTTGCCTGAGCCTGAGACAGTATATTCGGGGAAATGTGATAGACACCTCATTTTCATTTTTGCTACCGCTTCCCGCCCCCCCCCGCCCCTCCCCCCCGCCCCTCCGCCTCGCCCTCCGCCACCTTGGCTGAAACTGAAGGCCTTCTTCCGGAAAAAATGTTTCTACAGAACCTGAGTTGGGTCCAGTTGAGTCAGGATTCACAAACCGTGATTTTAGCAACCTTACGCCAGGGCCTTTGGTGGCAATGTCGGATACCGAAGCTGGTTCATATTTGGAGGACTGACGGTGACGCTCAAATAGGTAGTTAAATATAGCGAAGAAAACCGATTTTGAGAGAATAGAGTTAGGGAGGAATGCGAAGTCAGAGGGAGAGGCAAGTACAGAGTACTTGCTCCCTACGGTCGGATCTGAAGTTTGGAGACCAGGGAGGAACCCGGCTCGATGACCACCCCGTGCGGACACTTTCGTTATTCTGTTAACTGCACGGACCCAGCTTGCGTCCCCTCACCTCCGCTGCTTTTCCAATTCTCAGTCATGAGCAGGCGATCCCATCAGGGCGTTCTCTATTTTCTGGGATGTAATTATTTTAGGCTCCTGTTGAGTGATCTATTTGCACGCCTTACCTTTCCTTCTCTAGGTCTAAGTCCCTTTAGAAGGCTGGAGCCAGGTTCATGTTTACTTCCCACCAAGTGTAGCCCATAACAAAGTTCTCATTGAATGCTTTTTGAATGAATGAGGGATTCCTAAACAAGAAAAGCTTTCAGTTACCACTCTTACACCACAGGGTAAACAAGCAAACAAACAATACCCCCTGAGAAGGAAATTTCGAAGACTAAATTTGGGGAGAGAGGAAGCAGGGAAACCTATATGCCAACAGGGCTTTGTGCACAGACTTTGTGTACCAGATCCCTAATTCCGACGAGTGTTAAAAAGCAGGATACCTCATCAAATAAATGCGGGGGGTTAAACCAGTTTCTTTGCCACAGATTCTCTAGGGCCCTTTCATACAGCGTTGCGCATAGGGACTAACCAGTAAGAGGAGGGAATTAGGCTACTCTTCCTAGTGTTTGCTGAATTATTTTTTTGTGTGGTTATTTCAGAGCACTTGGTTAGTGTTTGATGAATGACCTCCGATGCTCGCGGCACTGTGTTCACGTGAACTTATTGGGAACACCCTCCAGGACTGCCTTTCTCATTTGGTGGCCTTCCTATCTCTGCACGCACACTGTCTGAGGTTTGGTCAAACGTTTCTGTGGTCCTTCTAAGAAAGCTGGACACAGTTGTAGATCATACATATTTTTTTCCTTAAAAGGAGGAGAAAATAGAGTGGGTATGAGGAAAGTAATAGTTTGAAATCATCAAGGGTCTTTCAAAGATGCACAGTCCATCAGTCTAAAATGTCACCAGCAATTTTTGCTTGACCCTTGGAAGTAAGCAGATAAAGACAGAGAGGTTTATGCCACTGTAGCAAGGGTAGCATGTTGTTTGAATTCTCCAAGAAGCAGGTGCCCAGACATTAGATGTGCAAGAGATTTATTGGTGGAAATGCTTGTGAAGGATAAATGGGAGGAAGCAGGAGTAGACAGGATCTTTAGACCATGAAGCAGGTCTGATACCTGTGAACAGGGAGAAGGAAGGAAGGAGGATTAGGTAGGGGTTACCTTGTCAACTACAGGAATTCTAAGACATTTTGGCCAAACTGATGGGGAGTTCCTTACTTAAAGTCACATATTGGAAGAATCTTTTATCCTACAGGAATGGGCCAGCAGTAGGAACCCTCAGTCATTTGCTGGAAACAGCTCATGGTACAAATGCCTTGGTGGATGGAGAGGGCCAGCATCTGGGGCTGTCAGTGAGCTTCGCTCTTTGCAGCAGGAAATCTGAGTGGTAAATTTTTATGGACACAAGGGGAATGAAGTCAAATAATCAGGGTTTGAATTTCAGCTCTACCACTTAATTATGGGACAGTTATCTAACTTTTTAAAAAATTTATTTTAAAGAGGAAGGTAGAGTGAAACATCAATTTGTAGTTCCACTTACTTACGTATTTCTTGGTTGCTTCTTGTATGTGCCCTGACCGGGTATCAAACCCACAACTTGGCATGTGGGGATGACACTCTAACCAACTGAGATACCCAGTCAGGGCCAAAAGTTATCTAACCTAATACCTCATCTGTAAAATGGAAATTATTAAAGCATCCATCTCAAAGAGCTGTTATGAGGATAACATGACATGAAATTCTGAGCATTTTGCCCAGAACATTGAAGATTTCAAAACATTAACTATTATTATTATAGGTACTTGTAACTGGTACAATGTCAAAAGTCCCAGCACGGAGGAAGTTCTGACAGCTGGATAAAATGCTGAGAGGCAGGAGAACGTCTTTACTTGTGTGTCATACCGTGTATGTAGAACTCTGTTCCAGGATCTTTGGAATATGGCCCTTTCTCCCTGCTCCTGAGAACAAAGTTACTCTCTCCTGAACTTCACTTTAAACACATAATATAAGGGAAAAAGACAACATCCACATTTCCGCACTGGATTGACATGGTTGGAATGAGGACCACCCCCACCTTTGCAAGTATTTCTTGAAGAGTTTAGTGTGTTTATTCCGTGTGCCTTCTGCAGACATCAGTAATGCTGTAAACAGGAGAGTTTCAGGCTCAGTCAAGCAAATTGGAGAATACTGAAAAGGTCATAGCAGTAAAGTACATGACTATAATCCACAGAATATATGAAGCTTTAAAATACTAATGCCTTGACTTTTAATGAGAATTAACAAGGGGTGAGAAAAATGAACTACCTCAGTGCATTTTTATGGTCAAAATTAAAAGAGGGGTGGAGTCACCTAACCCCTGCTAGCCATCTTAAATTCATCGAATTACCTTCTGTGTTCATAGAATTCTGTCTCTATGGAACTCAAGGTTCTGGGGAGCTGTTAATGCTTTGGAACCTTCCCTGAAGATGAAAGGAAGAGAGAATAGGTGGGCAATAATAGAACCAGCAAGTGAGGCATCTTCACACATAGGAGACCAGGCTAATAGCCAAGTGAGTGTTGATGGTTTCTCAAGGATATTAGTCCCCTGACCTCCTGGATCTATGATGTTGATTGGCTCAAAGGTGTGACCTGTCCTTTCATGGGCCATGTAGCAGGGACAGCTCTACACAGATTCTATTCCTCTGCACCACACCAAGGAGAAGTGATTGTGAAGTAAAGAAAGTGGCTTCGCAGCCCATGAAAAGAGTAGGCAGAGAGGAACATGAAGCTATGTGGACATCTCACATCCCGAAGAGAGTCCTTGATACCTACAGGAATTCTGAGTGAAGCAGCCATGGGCCCTGATTTGGAACTATTTCTAGGAAATAATCTGTTTAAAAAATTACCTAGGAAAGAACAGATTCACCTGTACAATCTCATAATGAAAATTACTAGTGGTGTTACTGTCTAACCTTCAAAACTTAAATTACTCTGCCATCTGAGTAGCTTCATCAAGGACGAAGCAGAGGAAAGTAGTATTTATCATGTACAGGATACCCTGTGTTAGGGTGGTTGGTGATCTAGGCTGTGAAAGAATTCACAAAGAGAAGAAAGTGCAGAGAGTAAAGGTTTTATTTTACTTTCCCAAGAGAGGGAAAGGGCTAGGGGCGGAGATATGCACCAGCATTGAGGGACAGGGGTTTTGAGCTTTTACTGGATTATAACTAGATTAAAAAAAGTCGGTGAGGGGGTTACTGTTGTGTGGCCCCTTTGCTGTTGGGGCATTGTAACATGAGGTCGCAGTTTGTTCCATTGTTATTTTCTGTCTGTGGCTGTAGGGAACCGTTAGTTCTGTTCTTGCTTCCAGTAGTTTCCAGTCCTGGGGACATAAGCTCAGAAGAGTAAAATGGCAGTCATGTTCAACAAGGTCATGGGCTTGTTCAGCAAATCATGCCGACTTTATCCTTTCACCCAGCATTAATCCCCACAGCAGCCCTATGAAGCGAGTATTATCCCTACTTTACAGATGAGAAAACTGAGGCTTAAAAAGGTTAAGAAAATTGTACAAGGTCCTAAGCTAGTAAATAGCAGGACTGAGATTCCCATCTGGATCTGCCTGGCTCCAAAATCCATGCTCACTCTAAATCGCACAATGCTAATGGCAACACCTTTCCTGAGAAGGACACCAGTG